TTTATTTAAAAAAATACGAAAACCATTGCTACGAACTTCTCCAAAGAGGCGAACGTAACAAACCACTTATAACATACGATTTCTACTTTAGATACTTTAAAGAAAACTTTAACTATAGTTTTGGTAGATCTAGAACAGATACTTGCAAGAAATGTGACTTACTGGATAATAAGTTTAAAAGTACTTTAGATAAGCAAGAAAGAAATGCAATAAAAGCTGAAAAAGATGTACATTTAAAGAAATCCGAATGGTTTTATAAAGAATTAAAACAGCGTACAGAAGAAGCCGAGAAATATAAAGAAATTGAGGTCCTTTGCTTCGATTTTCAACAGAATTTGCCACTACCAAAAGTGCCATCTACAGATGCATTCTACCTACGACAGCTGTGGATGTACAATTTTTGTATTCATTCCGCTAAAAACAAGTCGTCTCATTTTTACATGTATGACGAAACAACTGCAAAAAAGGGAGCCAATGAAGTTATCAGTTTCTTACATCATTATATTACGAACAAATTAAGCCCAGGTGTTAAGAAGCTTTACTTATTTTCGGACAACTGCTGTGCGCAAAATAAAAACAATGTAATGGTCCGTTACTTGGCAGGGTTGTGCAAAATACAAAAATTTGAATCCATAATACATAGATTTCCTGAACCTGGTCACAGCTTTTTACCTTGTGACAGATCATTCGGTATTATTGAAAAGAAAAAAAGGTTGGTGGAACGTATTTACTTACCCCAGGAATATCACAAATTAGTTGAAAAAGCTTCGTTAAAATTTAAAGTTATAACTGTTACGCAAAATATGATTTATGATTTTTGTTCTCTTGTAAAGGAATTTTCTCTCCAAGTGCCAAAAAATCCTAATAAGGAAAAATTTGCTGTTTCTACTTACCGAGTTTTTTTGTATTCAGAACTTTCAGATGAAATTCAATGTAGCAAGACAGCTTGTGGATCTTTACTATTTCAGAAATTTACTTTACTGAATTTTAAAAAATCTGTCCAATTTACAGAAAAAAATACTTGCTATAATGCCTTGTTGCCCATTAAGGATGCAAAATTTAAAAATGTTATGCAACTGGCCACAGAGTACGTACCAAAATCTGATTTGGCATTTTATTACAATTTAAAAAGTACTAATGATCCCCTCGAAAATAATAATAATTCAGGCACAGATGGAGACGAAGATACCTTCTCTGAATAATAATGTAATTTAATATGTAATATCTTGACTATTCGTAAATTTTTATTTTTGTGACTTATCCCGTTCTTGTACCAAATAAACAAAATTCAAAATTTTTGCAGCTTTTCTTTCAGTAAATTACCCCAGGTCTCATTTTTTTGCCAAAACTATTTGTTTTTAATAATATAAAGTAATAATATTAATAATAAAAATAATAAAATAAAAATCGTTTTTTGAACATTTTTGAAATAGTGACTCATCCCCTTTTTGCATCAAGGTCCTCAATTATTGAGTCAGATAGAACACTTTCAATCGTTAACAAGAGATTAGATGTTAAAACTTGACAATATTTTTATTTAGATGAAACTATGGAAACCAACAATAAATGTTTTTGTATACGTATTGCAGGCAAATAATTAATATTCCTCAAAAAATCGTACATGGCAAGAATCGAGTATTTTTGTTAAAAGTTTCGATTAGAGGTGATGAAGAAGATATGAAAAAAGGTACATTTTTATGTTTTTCATCGTATAAAATTTTGTCCGATAATAATACATAGGCGTAGAACTTGATTTTTTAAATAATTGCACCTTTAAAAATTCTACGCCAATGGAAAAAAGGGGTTTGAGTATGAAATTTGGATTGGGTACTCATTTACTACAAAAAAGTATCCTTGATAACACTCGATTTACTCTCATGGTTTTGACAAAGTTTGTATTTTAATAATTATTGTTTATGTTCTAAAATTACTAAAATGCAAATTTCGTCAAACCCATGAGAGTAATCGAGTCTTATCAGGAGTACCTTTTTTAAAGTAAATAAGTTGCGCAATCTAAATTTCATACTCAAACTCCTTTTCTTCCATTGGCGTAGAATTTTTAAAGGTGTAATTATTTAAAAAATCAAGTTCTACGCCTATGTATTATAATCGGAAAAAATTTTAATACCATTTTTTGCCACATAAAACTCTACTAATGTACCAAATTTCAGCAAAATCGCGTATGCCGTTTTAAATTTATATGGGAAAAACGATTTAAAAATTGTAACTTCTAGGCCCTCTGGAGCCCAAACGAAGCAACTTTGTACTAAGGTAATTTTACTTAAATCGACTTATTTTGGTCTAAGGAATATGTGGTATGTTTTTGTAAAGACCTTTTACAGACACCCTAATTTGATCAATCATTAGTCCTGTCTGGCAAAGAGATTTAATCCCTGTCATTAAGAAATTTATACAGTTCTATTTTTTTAAATTGTAAGGAGAAAGATTATATCACATACCTACCTTCTATATTTAGTCGCGTTTAATGAGTGTATCGAATTCTTGCTGAGATTGCGGTAGCAGAATCACCTTGCTGAACGGTACGCTCAATTTGCAAAAATTAAATTTGTGTTGAACGACATTTCTAGTTTAATAAAACGTAGCATTTGCAATTGAAAGTAAACTTATTTATTGTTACTTGGAGTTTTGATCAACAATATACAATATTCTTTATATTTAAGTGTTGTTTGTTATAATTTTTATCAATATACAGTATGGTTCAAATGAAAGGAATAAATTCATTATAATGGAAGTAGTTGGTTTTCCGAAAAAATGCTTGGACAGGTCAATTTTGTTTACTTAAAGCGCAATTTTTTAAATAGAATTCAATTTTCTCCCACTTCTCATTTTTGGCCAGTGACGTCATTGACAATTTTTTTAAATAGTAACCCCAATTTTTTTTCTTGATTTTGATAGATCTTGCAATTTCCTACTCGGAAACATAATATTTGAAATATCTTACATAACAATTTTTTTTGAATAAAAGATATTTAAAGATCAGACACATAAATTTAATTTTATTTTGAGAATACAATAAATGAATAAAAGATAATTATTTGTAATTAAGTGCTTAATCTAACAAAATAATAATAATAATAATAATAATAATAAATAATAATAATAAAGAATTTGAGAAATTGTCATTAAATTATTTTTCATTATTATTAATATTTTGTTAGATTAAGCACTTAATTACAAATAATTATCTTTTATTCATTTATTGTGTTCTCAAAATAAAATAAAATTTACGTGTCTGATCTTTAAATGACTTTTATTCATAAAAAATTGTTATGTAAGATATTTGAAATATCATGTTTCCGAGTAGGAAATTGCAAGATCTATCAAAATCAAGAAAAAAAAATTGGGGTTACTATTTAAAAAAATTATCAATGACGTCAATGCCCAAAAATGGCAAGTGGGAAAAAATTAAATTCTATTTAAAAAATTTCGCTTTAAGTAAACAAAATTGACCTGTCTGAGCATTTTTTCAAAAAACCAACTACTTCCATTATAATGAATTTATTCCTTTCATTTGAACCATACTGTATAAAGCACAACCAGGTTCTTAAAGATATATTTTTCAAGCAATTGCAAATAGCAGGGGTTTTAGGTTGTTTTTGGTTGTTTTTATGAGCTTTCCTGCTCAAATTTTGCGATCGCAGAAGAAAGGAGTGTAAAAATTAAATGCTCCAAAATGATACCGATCGATACGGGATATATATCATAGAACGAAATTGATTAGTATCGGTTGGGATCGCTATGTCTCATTGAACGCAGCTATAGTGTTTAGTAATATATTTTATCAATATATTTCTTCTTCTTTCCATTTAATATCTTACCAAATTGCACTTCCAATTTTCTATTTAATCCCTTATGATATTTCAGTTAAAAAGATTATATTATATTTTCTCTACTTTCTAATTAGTATTTATCAAAAAGATATATATTCGAGATATATTTTTAGTATTACTAACACCCGTATGCATAGTCGATCGCCAGCGAATCGCCAGAGATTCATTCCGCGGTATCGCCAGGATTCGCTTGCGATCCGCTGGCGAAAGCCCGAAAAGGTGGCGACCCACTGGCGACTGTCACCGGTATGTCATTTCTCGCAAGTTTTCATGTTCTTTTATAGGGTTTATCACCGGCATCTCTCGCATTTTATTATTGATTTATTTCTTAAAACTCAAAAAACAATGAACGAATATCAAATTTTTCCCTATAAAAGAACATGAAAACTTACGTGAAATGACATGCCGGTGACAATCTCCAGCGAGTCGCCACCTTTTCGGGCTTTCGCCGGCTGATCGCTGGCGATGCGCCGAAATTAATCTCTGGCGAGTCGCTGGCGATCGATTATGTATACGGCTGTAAGAGATCCCTCAAGTAAATGTTAGCTGTAATATACTCCTCTTGTATGTTTCTATCCCATGTTGTCAGATGTTACCATTCGCCAAGTATGTCACCGATTTTAAAATGTCGATTTGTTTTTGAGAATACGGATAGTGTCAGTCGATCGACATTTTAATAGACATTAGCAGTAGAAATTATGACGTATGCGACATTTTTTATAGACTTTGAGAATAGGTCCCATGATCACTTTCGTTTGAACGATTCTGCCGTAACCATCTTTGTTATATTTTGGCAGATATTTAGTGTGCACATAAGGTGTTTTAAAGCTTAAAGAAAGGGAGAAACAGCTTGTTCAAAAAACCAGAAATAGTATTGTGGAGACAAGAGTATGAAAATATTGACCTATATAAGAGAGAATAAAAATGTATTATGTACATGTAATTACAATAAAAATACATTGTTCATATACAATCTCAGGTCTGTTGTGCAATTCTTTATAATCTCATAAATATGCCCACCAAATTTAAGGAATTTTTATAAAAGTCTTTATAAAAAGTCCGAATTAATTTTGAGTTAATTTGAGCTCCTAATCTCCTGAGCTCCTGAAGAACACTCTTAAACAGATTATAATAAGATATAAAAATTACCTGTGGCTGGCTCGGTATTTACAAATATAGGCTGAAATGTTCCCTTAAAATCATTGTTCATTGCTTTTATACTAATTTCATATGTATTATAAGGCATTAGATTATCTAATGTAATTTGCCTCTCTGATGAATTCTGGCTTAAAATCGTACCATATCCTCCATGGTAACAAGCTTGATTTTTTGACTAAAACAGACCAAAATATAAAAATTATTGATAATATTCACAAATTTTCCATTAATTATTCTTGTTATTAGAAAGTACAACAAACCGCAATTATACAAATTTTAACATTTTACTGTATTTTTAAGGATATTACCTCCGGATGACATCGAACTCAAGAATTACGATACATATTAAAAATATTCTCCCTGTTATTAACCATCTTACGATTGAACTCCTGCAGCTCTGAAAAAAGAGCTTTTTCTATTGGACTTACAGGTGAGGAAAATCCACCATCATTTATATCTAGTTTACATATTTAAGGAGGTCCTTTCGCCACCAATGTTAAATAAAAAGTATTAGATTATGACTAAAATTAATTTTTTTCTAATGGTAGATGTCCTTATTTATCTAATAGTGAACTTTTAACTATACCTTACCGTGCAAATTTTTGAGAATTTTTTTTTAAAATGTGTGTGTTTGTACAGTGTCTTACGAGAAAGTAAGACTTCAACAACAATTTTCGAATTATAATTAATTTTACTATTATTTATTGATTAGATGGAGTAGAAAAAAACTAAAAATAAGGTTTTTGAAATATTTAGGTTTTGTTTTTTACAATAAAATATATAGGTTACCGTGGAATTTATTGAGAAATTATTTTTAAAAAATCACAAAAAATGTTCAACTAATTTTTTGTGATTTTTTAATATTAATTTCTCAATAAGTTCCACGGTTTACTATATATATTTTATTGTATAAAACAAAATCTAAATATTTCAAAAACCTTATTTTTAGTTTTTTTCTACTCCATCTAATCAATAAATAATAGTATAATTCGAGAATTGTTGTTGAGGACTTACTCTCTCGTGAGGCACTGTACAAATACTCACATTAAAAAAAAAAAAAAATTAAATTTGCAAGGTAAGGTATAGTTAAAAGTTCAGTATTAGATAAATAAAGACTTCAACTATTAGAAAAAAATTAATTTTAGTCATAATCTAATAACTTTTTTTAACATTGGAGGCGAGAGGTGTGGCGAAAGGACCTCCTTAAAGGTACATACAGATTTCCACACGCATGCGGTGAGAAGCTACGCATACACATACGTAAGCAAATCTAGACGACGCACAGTGCGGCCCAAAACTCCGATTTTGCGACCAAAATTTGAAAAGTTAAGGGAACGTTCTGCAATTTGCTATCAGGAGGTTTTTTGGGTCATTCATTACAATTCCGTTATCAGAAATAACAAATTAAAAATGGTGGATCCAACTGGTCTAAAACATATTTTTGTTTATGAGGGTCTGTGAATAAAAATTTATCAAAATAGAAAAAATTTCAAATGGCGGAATGCAATTTGGCGATACGGACATTTTTATTAAAATTAAACATAGTGACATACAAATTAAGAGTTTATTAATATAATTTTATTACAAAAATTTTTTTATTATCGATGTGATATCCGTAATAGTCGTAGACGTCGTTGTACTCCTCTAAATCATCTGTACCTGACTCAGATGCCGAGCTACTTCTAACCATTTCTTGTTCTTCTTGAATATATAAAGATAAAGGTGATTTCGGCAATTTTATTCCACCTTGTTCTTATCTTGAACACCACATATTTTATTATCCCTCACTCGTCATCTGATAAAATATATTGGGAATCTCGTTTTCAGACAAAAGTTATTAATCAGTGTTTGCATAAATATTTGACACATTTTTTAAAACACAAACAATTATTGCAATCTCGTGAATCCTGCTTTAGTCGAGGTCATGGAATTAAAAAAAAAAACAAATAACAAACTGTTAAAAAAATTAAACAAATCTTATAAAAAATATTATTCTTAATTATAATCCTATCTTAAGAGGAGTATTTACTTGTGTTAGCTTCCAGTATTTATTACATAAATATTTGCTAAACACTCCCTGTAGTATTTTTGGATACGGTGCGTCTTTCGCTGACACAAGATATTCTAATATTTCGATGAGTGGACAGACGCGGTTTTAACAAGAAAGAAAGGGAAATATAGACCGGCATTGATACATTCATTATTAGCTGTTCAACCATTATTGATTAATAAAGTTTATTTTTGTAAAGTGAATTTCTATTACCCCTTAGCTAATATCAGAAGTTGGGATAAAGAATCTTTTGTTGCGTAGTGTTGTGGTGTTCGAATAGTTTCTGTTGTGAATTAAAGTTGTGTTAAAATTTTTGTCAAAATGCCGAAATTTAAAAGAAAACATCGTAATTCAAGTAATTCAGGCAGTAGCTCTACTTCTTCTAGTTTCCGTAGCGCTCGCTCTACGTCATCTAGTTCAACGTCAACTAGCTCTACAGAATCCAAAGAAAATTGTAGAGGCCACAGACGAAAATCTAGAAAATCAAGAGGTTAAAAAAAAACCAAGATAATCCTGACGAAATTTAAAAGAGTAAGGTTATTAGATAAAAAAGAAACTAATGGAAATTGAGGTGAGTTCCTTTAGGGAAAAAGTAATTGTCACGCATAATAATACTAGATTTTGACCGTAAAAATGAAAATATCTAAGAATGCTTAAATATTATCGATGAACATGTCTTTTGTTACAAATTTGGACAAGTGGAAAACAAAATTACAAGCTTTAAATAAATTAAAAGGTAGGCGCTGAAAAATAGTACCTATAAAGATTTAATTATAAACGAAATAGTGCGTGGTAAACGTAATAGTAAAAAATAAAGTTTTTATCAGAATTTATTATAGATCGTAATTTTACGGAAAATAAAATAAAAAATATTGCCGTGTAGACGAAACATTACATTTTTTTAGGCATCAATAGTATCAACACAGCAAATAAACGAAATATGTTTGATTTAGAGATGTTCGATACATAGAAAAGTATCGATACTGCGTATCGATTCAGATCGAAGTTTAATGTAACTGTACAATTTAATATCGTAAGCACCAGTATCGATATTCAAAATATCGAAATGGTATATTAATGTACTTAGTACAAGTAAATTAATTTTAAAATATTGCAGTGCAAAAATCATATACGGAAGTATAAATAGATTTTAAGGTGTACAATTAAAAAAAAAATACAATATTTCAAGCAATCTAAGTATGTTTAATATCTTATCCAAATATGGCAATTTAAATTCGTAATTAGTGATTCATAAGTGTTATTTTGTTTTCGATACGATTTAACATATACATGTATCGATACGGAATATATTTTAGTCACAGGCCTGTCACTCCCTATACTTCACATGTTAAATTCTGGCTCAAATCTCAATGACCTCGGCACCTCTTCCCTATTGGTCTGGAGTATTTTAGACAAATCTGGCGTCACCAATCGGAGCGTTGGTTGCTGTCATATGAGAAAAATGACATCTAGAAAATTGATTAGTATTTTTGCAGTTTTTCACGGCACAAACCTTCATGATAAAAAAAATACAGATCTATAACAAAATTAGTTCATAAATAAACGTTTGAACAAAAAATAGTAATGATCAGAAAGCTATGTTATATTAGATACATTTACCCGCGTAAAATATTTTAAATTTTCAAGGTCATAGACTTTCAGATCGATTGACATTTGAGTGCGATCTCTTGTGTTAACTATACTCTTTGTTTAAGTCGTAGAATATCGATACAAAATATCGAGTTTCGAACCCCTGAATATCGATACTGTCAAATATCGTATCGAATCGCACATCTCTAGTTTGATTCTGTAGATGATGTAACTGTTAATAGCTTACTGTGTAGCTATGATTGTATTTTTATTTTAAATCTTACAAGGATTTAAGTAAAATCACCTGTGTTACTATGAAATTACATTTTATCTTGAACAATCGCAATCAATAATCTATGCAGGATGGCCGATGCGGTAGGTATAATTAAAATTAAATAATAATAATATTATCCAAGAAAGTAATTCACTGTATGCTAGCTGTTTTATTGGTTAACGAAAAAATTGTGAGAGTAACTGGTTAATTCAAGTTCAAAGCCAAAAAATAAATACAGTTTTAGAATCAGGACAAATAGTCGAAGAAAAGGAAATTTTTAATAACTACGATTTAAGAGCAATCCAAATTTTTAAATTAAACGATCCTATGTGGATTGTAGGCAGTGTTGTTCCTGTTTGTACAATTGTACAAAAAGTTGGACAATCAGTTATGCGGTTGTACTGTTGTACGCACTTTTGAAAAAAAGACAGAAATATTGTACAATTTGAAGTTGCTAGATATTTTTGTAAAATTGTGTATATAAAAGGTTTTCTTCGCTCAAAAAGTCTACGATTCGTTAAATAGCATGCATGAAAATTAATAATAAAAAAAAAAAGAAGAATTTTCAACATCGGAAAGTAGTAGGCCATAGTCTGTTAATAAAAAAGAAAAAGATTAATTAGTGGTTGTAGAATCGAACCTAAAAATGTACAATTTTCACACTGAAAGTTGTATAATTCAGAAATACCTAGGAACAACACTGATTGTAGGGTGATCGAATCGGTTATCGTAATTTTTGGCGGGAAAACGTATATAAATGAGTTATTTTTCTATGTATATTACTTATACAGGGACATAAGTAATCAATGAAGTATTGAGAATAAAAAAGGAAAAGGCAAAATATGTTATGTGAATACATTTTAAAAATAATTACGAAAAAGTTGGGAAAAGTACCTTTTACCAGTTTTCGATTGCCCTAGTTACCTTAAAATTACCGATGGCAAGTAGGTAGTAAAGACAAATCATAACCTAATTGGTGATTTTTCAGTAGATAAAACTATTAAACCAATAAGGAACCGGTTTTGGTTTCCTAAAATGTGAAAATTAATTAATAACTATGTCAAATATTGCCACAGTTGCCCATATAATAAAGCTCAATCACGTAAGAAACCAGGTTTTTAATTTTCCATTGCAAAACATTCTCGTCAATTTCATAAACTGAATAATATGGCAATTCATAGAAACGAAAAAGGGTACAAGGTATAAACTGCAGAAGTTTTGTGTAAAAAAAAATGAAATCGACTTTATCAAACAGCTGTTG